AATATAAGCATTGTGAAAGTATGCAAGCATGCGTTAATGGATTAGTCTTTAGGAAAACGTCTCTCGAATATTCTCCTAACTTGATTTAATAAACTATTCAACAAGCTCATTCGATTATTTAAGAGAATCAATGAATTAAATCAAACAAAATAATGCAAAGATAATCACCAAAATATTGCTCTTTCGATTAAATAAACCGGTGAATAAAGTTGCAACAATTCTAAGCTCCATAAACGAATTCAAGCAAAGAACTAGAGTTAAAATTCACAAATATTTATCAAAACACCATATCCATCAAATCTTAAGGTAAACTACTCCATAATCATGGAGGAAGTCATCACAAATATAATTAAAGAGTAAGAAAGCATCAATCTAATATTACAATCCAAACTCCCCTCTTGAATTGATGGAAAGATGATGAAATCCTGTGTCTTGTAGCCTCCAATGCTCTCCCAAAACTTTCAAAGTCAAAAGTCCCTTCAAAAATATCTTTTTGATGTATTTATACCCTGTAGGAGTGGGCCCAGGCAAAATTACTTTTTTCAAGTTGAAACAGGAAAGTACTCTAAGAAAATCACACAGGCACGCCGCACCATGCGCCGCCCCACGCGGGGCATTAGTGGAGAAGTCCAGAAAGTTCCACTGCCGCGGCGCGGCAGTGGACTGTTTACAAAGTAACTTGTTTTCTTCACCTTTTGACATCCAGACTTGGCTCCCGACCCCCGAACGCGATCCCAGTTTAATCCCTTGGACGTTTACTCAAATTTCGAAGCTCTAACTTGTTCAATTTAGCTCTTGAATATCTTTTTAACTCGAAATCACTTCCTACAAGACATAAAACACATAATTATTGTAATACACTAATATTTAAGCTCAAACACAAGTATAATACAGTAATTAGAGTGTAAACTATAACTAAAACACGTGATTCTAGCCTACCATCAGTCCATCACCACGCTCGCAAAAATATTAACAAATAAGTCCTCCCTCCTACAGGCCCAATTTATATGTTCAAATATGACCATTGTTAACAAATTAGGTCTTCCTTTTACCTTATTAACTCTGTTAAAAATATTAAATGTTCCCCACAAAAAGAGGAGCTCGTGGAGATTATTGTGGACCACTGGGAATAAACCAACATTCAAGTTTAACGGAGTAGTTATTAGCAATATTAACTATTATTCCATATAATTTACAACACTATGAAATTATCTAAAATATTTGGTATGTTTTTAAGAAATAATATGATTTATTATATCTGTAATAATCCAAATCCGCAAGATCAAATCCGTTGCGTCGTTTACTTTTTATAGTACACACTTTTTATCTATCGCTTGAGTAAAGTTGGTTGAGCTAGAGGTTTGACAGTAGAGCTTATATATATTTTTCATAGCAGTATCTATAGGTTCCAAAATAAAAATTATTATAGAGAAAGTAGTATAAACAAACTTTCGTTGTTGTCCACAGTTTGATCAATAGCCTCAATGTTATGCCACTTTTTTTTTGCGTTCCAAAAATGATCCCCCGATAAATTCACTGGGTATGCAGATTAAAATCTCTGCAATAACAATTCAAATTTTAATTTACCAGAAAATAGAAATACACAACAAAATAATGAATTATGTACTTTCACATTGTTGAAACTCTTTCTATGTTTAAGAGACTAACAACAAGATCAGTATGTCGAAGACGATTGGAAGAAGATAATCAAGCTTAGGCGGTTTCGATTACATGTTCCACAAGCACTTTGAAGTGCTTTAAATCTTCTCTTCAAGGAAAAATAAAATCATATGTAATCATAAATTTAACATAAAAAGAGAGCATAATATATCGGGACCCCTCCGAACTTAGCACTTTTTATTTGTTACACATCTAAACTAGCTTTAGTTTTAATTATCCCTTTCAACTTGACAGTTTGGTCGACTTCGTCCCTCTGAACAACCTCGGTCCAAGGAAGTGTGATGCACTCATTGCCATGTGAATATTGTCTTGTCCACGTGATTGTTTTAATAGTAAGATATATATTTTTACTGTTTTAAATTCATTATTATTTTTAAATTATTTTTTCCAGCCAAAATTTAAAAACTTGTTTGGAAATTCATTACATTAGGCTTTTTTTTTTGTTTAGCTAAACATAATGGAGTTTCACCCAAGTTTTGTTTACATAGGTGGTCAGATTGTTTTTATTATTCAGTACATCTGAAGATGAAATATAAAAATACACAATTGAAATACATTATTTTAGCTTCAAAAATTGTATTTGACTAAAAATAATGGAGTTCTAGCAATTTTCTTTTATAAATTTTGCGGAAAAAAAGAGTTATTGCATCTATATAATAAATAAAAGGAAATTTTACAATTTGAGCTTAGTTATTTTAGTTAAAACTTTTTTATCTAGTTATAAATAATGGAGCTATAGCTAATTATTTTTATAGTTGGCGCATAATAAAATTAAACAGTTAGAATACATATCTTGCATCTAAAGAAGAAATAAAATAAAATACATACTTGAAACACCATTATTTTCATGAAAATATTTTATCTGGCTAAAAATAATTAATTTTAGTCCAATCCCTTTTTCCTACATATTTGGTAAAAAAGAAGAAATACATAGTAAAATAAAGGCGTAATGTCTTCCTGGCCACTTAAACTCGTAGAAATTTTAAAAGTCGATATATGAACTTTAAACTTTCTCATTTGAACACTCGAACTCATTATTCCCTTAACTAATAAACACATCTGACCATTGAGCCTTCGCACGTGTATTATACATACACAAACGTGTCCATCCAGTCAGCAAATGACCAATAAATTTGTTACACGTCAAGGGCGCGAAAACAAAAATTCAACTGATCGGGTCCCCCTCTCTTTATTCTATAGACCGATCAAAAGACACTCATTTTACCTATCTCTAACCAAATCCTCCCCTGTTGAACCTAGGTTAGTAATGGCCTAAAAAATTAGTCACCCCCTTCCAAAATTGATCATAATCACTCATCCATTATTTTATTTTCGTTTATTATCTATTAACCTCGTTCTGATCGAGTTTCGTTTGGTTTGTCCTTTCTATTTCAGTGACATTATAGGATCTGAAGGTTAGTTTGTATCTTTTGATGTCGTTTTCTCTTGTCATATATTTTTTTATGAATTAATATGTGATAGTCAACTATATTTTATCTGCATGCATAAATTATTTGTTATTTGGAATTTTAAATTAGAGTTTTGGGGAAAACAGTCGAATCTTAACTATACTTTAGAGATTTTGTCTCTTTTGATGTCGTTTTCTCTTTTGTCATCTTATTTTTTATGAAATAATGTGTGATAGTCAAAGTTATATTTTGTCTCCATGCAGAAAATGTCAGTTGTTATTTGGGATTTAAATTAGAATTTTTGGGAAAAACAGTCAAATCTTAACTTTACTTTAGGGATTTTGTCTTTTTCATGATTGATCTGGCATTTAGGGTTTAAAAATTAGGGCTTTTTTGCATATCAAAATATTCTTGTCTCCCAATGTGATGAAGTTATGGCTTTTTAGATTTAAAGTGTATCTAACTTGGCCTTTTTTTATAGGTTTCAATGGCTGTATATGTGAAATTACAATGTCGTCATCTAGGGTGGTTAGTGGCTGATCCATTTATGAGGTATGTAAATGGATAAATTTGGTCAGTTATTCTTCAGGCTCACATTGATGAATTGCATATAATTCGTTTTAATGAGTAGGCTAAGGATATGAGGTGCTTAACAGTAGATAAATATGCATGTAAAATTAACAAAAAAGAAAATTTTGATTTCTAAAATATGATGTTGATGTGTTAGCTTTGTATAAAGACCTTAAGGATGGAGATTTTATTGATGTGTATCTATATCACACAATTAAAATACCATGTATTGATTTGGACCTAGATGATATTGAGTAGTGGTGGTATAAATGTGGACCCCACTGATGTTCAACCATGTGCAGGAAAATATTTTGATGTAAAATAACCAAATACTTCTTATGTGCAGGAAAAGATTTTGAGCAATAATATGGAGGCAAAAATGAATCAAACTAAAAAAGAAAAGGAAACAGACAAATCAATCAAGGAAGATGGCAAAATTAATTAAAAGAGTTATTATAGGAAGAATCTAAATCAAAGAAGATTACTGGCACGAAATCATCCGCTAAAGATTCTCCCACATAATGACATCAATCGAAGGCATCAACCAAGGGATCTGGCAACAGGAATATTCTCTCAATTAAGGAAGAAATCACTCAAGCCCGCGAGTCAAGACAAGTCAGAATCAATCTACAAATTCGTCTAAATACAAACTCCCTTGAGTTCGCAAATCTCTCAGAAAGATGTACAAGACTTGAAGGCATCAAGAAGTATAAATAGTTACTGCACTGGCCTTGGAATGATATACTTTGAATGACTCATTATTACTCTTTTTTCTACTCCAAATAAGCATTGTATTTCTTTTTAGATCTGATGTGTAATTAGTGAGAGAATAAAAAGAGACAAACACCGGTGAGACATTGTATCAAGAAGAGAGAAATGATATAAAGATTAAGCTGTTGGTGTAAAGCTACATCAACCATTTTGTACTCGAGAAACCTCATACACTGAAAGAGATCACACTCTTGCAACCTAAGGGGAATGGAGTAGGATTCACATTGAATCCGAACCATTATAAAAATCCTGGTATTTTTATTTCCTGCATATTATTTCTGCATTACTATTATTCTATTTTTTTCTCTAGTTGACTAATCGGTAAACTAGTCAACTACTTATAATACTAAAAATAAAAATCAATAATTCACCCCCTCTCGTACTTTCAATTGGTATCAGAGCATGTCTCATACTTTTTGCTTAACAACTTGTGAGAAAAGATCATGAAAAATCAAGTAACCGTTGGAGCACTCTTTCAAGAAGGAATGTCACAAGTTAGGCCACCATACTTCAATGGACAATACTTTTCTTATTGGAAAGTGTGAATGGAAATATATGCAAAATTCTATGATGTCAAAGTATGACGCGTTATCAAAAAAGGGTAACTATCCACTACCAGCAGCAACTCAATCACCCGATGATCCAGAAGATATAGATGAATACACAGACGAACAAATAGCAGTTGTTCAGGTCAATGCTAAGGCACAAAATTTACTCTATAATGCTAAAAGTGGAGAGGAGTATGAGAAAATCTCAAGTTGTGACACAACCAAAGAGACCTGGGATAAACTGAAAGTTACTTATGAAGGAACCAGCAAAGTGAAAGAAACTCACATAAACATGTTGGTTCATAATTATGAACTCTTCCAGATGAAATAAGGAAAATCCATTAAGGAAATATTTGCAAGGTTTAGCAAAATCATTGGCGATCTAAAAGCCTTTGGTAAACCCTATTCAGGTGGTGATCAAGTTCGAAAAATTCTAAGGAGTCTACCTACCACTTGGCAGACAAAAGTAGTCGCACTCGAATCACAAGATCTAAACAAACTTTCATATGATGAACTTAGAGGAGATCTTATAACATTCGAGAAAACTCATCTCAAGAAGACAAGCCGGGAAGAAAAGAAGAAAACAATTTGCTTCAAATCTACAACTAAAGGACCTGAGAATGATGATGATCCAAAAGCTCTTGAAGAAGAAATTGCTATGGTATCAAGAAACATGAATGGGTTAATGAGAAGGTATAGAAATACAAGAAGGGGAAGAATGCCATCTAGGCGAACGAGGCAATACAATAAACAAGACAAGAATGATAGGAAGGGTTATGAGTGTGGAAGCTATGGGCATGTTCAAGTTGAATGCCCAGATCTTAAAAGAAAAGTCTCCAGAGGATTCAGCAAAAACAAATCCTTCGGAAGTTGGAGTGATGAAGATAATTCAGAACATGAAGAAATAGAAAATCTATGTTTCATGACTATCCTGGAAAATGACATGAACAAATACTCTGCTGCTGGACTGATGAAGATACATCAAACGATGAATGCAAGGAAAATACTGAAAACTGTTTCATGGCACGAGGTGAAACAAGCGAGGTAAGATCTTATAATTGTGATAAATGTAATGAATTGTAGGATATTCTTGACCTTACCCTAAAAGAGTCTCAAAAATTGTTGAATGAACTAAGGAGACTCAATAGGGAAAAGAAAGACTGGTAACTTAAGCTTGAAGTCTGTGAAATCGAAAGAGATGTACTTCAAGATGAAGTTCAGGAATTGCAAATGCAACTTAATGGCATGCGCAAGTTCACCAGTCACAGTTCTGTCAAGTCTAACCAGGCGACTTACAAGTCAACTGGAAAAGGACTTATTAGAACTGAGTCCACAGGTACTAGCGCGAGTGGTAGATCAAAAACTGGATCAGCCCCTATGTGTAATTACTGTAACAAAATTGGACATAAATATTCTTTTCATCGATTTTGTAAATCTAATATTTCGGGATGGATTTGAAAACCCAAAAACAATCCTGATCCTAGTAGAACTAACCATCAAGGACCCAAAAAAGCTTGGGCACCTAAAAGAAGGTGATAATTCTATTTTTCAGGAACACCACAAAAAGAGCTGTAAAGAAAAATGGTATTTAGACAGTGCTGTTCCAGTCACATGATGGGTGACAAAAATATATTCAAAGAAGTCACAAAAATAAATGGTGGAAATGTCAAAGTTGGTGATGATTCAAAAGGAAAGATAGTTGGTACTGGCACAGTTCCATTCGAAAATAATTGTGACATTACATAGGTATATCTTGTAGATGGACTCAACTACAATCTCTTGAGCATAAGTGAGCTATGTAATTCAGGATATGAAGTAAAATTCAAGAAAACAGGATGTGCCATTGAGGATGAAATAGGTAAAACTATTCTTCCACGAAAAAGGTATGGAAATGTTTATATTCTTGATGGCATTGAAAATCTAGACATCCACATTTGTCTAGCATCCATTTCTGACGATCATTGGCTTTGAAATAAAAAACTTAGTCATGCAAACATGCATCTTATTGAAAAATCGTCCATACATGATTTAGTTATTGGTCTTCCCAAACTCAATTTTTCTAGAAATCATGTATGTGATGCATGTCAGATTGGTAAACAAACTAGAAACTCTTTCAAAACAAAGGATATTGTGTCCACTATCAACCCTTTGCAATTACTTCACATGGACTTATTTGGACCCACTAGAACTGCCAGCATTGGAGGTAAACTATATGCTTTTGTTATTGTTGATGATTACTCACGTTTTACATGAGTAATTTTCTTATCTCATAAAGATGAAGCTCTAAATTTTTTTAAGATTTTATGTAAAAAGTTGAAAGAGAAAAAGGGTATATGATCACAATCATCCACAGCGACCATGAAGGAGAGTTTGAAAGCATTTCCTTTGAAGAATTCTGTAATGATCAAGGGTATACTCATAACTTCTCAGCTCCAAGATCACCCCAACAGAATGGAGTAGTTGACCGCAAGAATAGAACTCTACAAGATAGGGAAAGAACAATGATATTAGAACATGCACTGCCAAATCACTTCTCGGCATAAGCAGTCAGTACATCATGCCATATTCTTAACATGTGCCTCATAAGACCTATTTTAAAGAAGACTCCATATGAATTATGGAAAGGTAAGAAGCCAAATATTGGCTACTTTCACCCGTTCGGAAGTAAGTGTTTCATTCACTACAATGGTAAGGATAATCTTGGAAAATTTGATCCAAGGAGTGATGGAGGTGTTTTCCTTGGTTACATTATTAACAGTAGATCTTTTAGAGTTTACAACAAGCGTACATTATCTGTAGAAGAATCAGTGCATGTTATATTCGATGAAAATAACTCTATGTTCGAATCATTGCAGGTGATGAAGACATAAGTCAAGAAGTATCACAGACAAATACACCACAGAAGTCGACTGATATCCCACCTACAGTCACAGAATCGACTAATGAACTTTTAATTAATCTTGTTGAACCACAAAAGGAGTCAACTAATTTTTGCAGTTGGAACTGGACTACATGAATGGAAAAGTGAACCTAAATATCCTCAAAATTTTATCATAGGGGATCCAAACGAAAGGGTTGCAAACTGTAGGGTCTGTAAAAAAGAAAGTAAATATTGCACTCATCTTTCAAGTAGAACCAAAGAAAGTTGATGAAGCTCTGAAGGACTCCAGCTGGATACAAGCCATGCAGGACGAACTTGATCAATTCGATAAAAACCAAGTTTGGGAATTGGTTCCTAAGCCTGCAAACACTACTGTAGTAGGAACAAAGTGGGTATTTCGAAATAAGCTAAATGAAGAAGGAAAGGTAGTAAGAAATAAAGCCAGAAGGAGTCGACTATTGTAATAACCCAAAATATCATCTTTAAATTTAATAAGTAATTCTGTGTTCTAAGACCTCAAAAAGGACCATTTCATTCCCCGACTTACGTGCGCAGTCCGTACAATTTTTAAAAAAGTTTTTATGTGAAAAATAGATTAAAAGGTGAAATAGAGCTTTAAAACTCAACTGAGTTGACTTTGGTCAACATTTTGAGCAAACGGACTTGGATCAGTATTTTGATAATTCCGATAGGTCCGTATCGTAATTTGGGACTTGGACGTATGCCCGGAATAGAATTCTGAAGTCCCTAGCCCGATATATAGAATTTTAATGAACAATTAAAAGCTTAAAAGCTTAATAATTTTTAAAAAATTACTGATGTTGGATTTGTTGACACCGGGTCTGTATTTTGGTTCCGGCGTCCGGTATAGGTCCACTATAATATTTATGACTTGTCTGCCAAATTTGATGAGAATCGGAGTTGATTTGACGTGATTCAGACATCCGGTTGTAAAAATATAAGTTTTAAAGTTTTCTTGAAAACTTTCTTTGATTTGATGTCCGATTCGTAGTTCTAGGTATTACTTTGGCGATTTGATCACGCGAGCAAGTTCGTATGAAGTTTTAGGACTTGGGTACATGTTTTGTCTGGAGCCCCGAGGGCTCGGGTGAGTTTCAGATAGGCTACGGGATGATTTTGAACTTAGAAAATCTGGGTTTTGAGCTTCTGCTATCATCTGGTGCATTATGCTTTGCGATCACGAAGACATTCCTGCGATCGCGAAGAGAAAACTTTAAGCCGTGAGTTTTACTCTTCGCGTTCGCAAAGAGAGGCACGCGAACGCGAAAGGCTAGCTCCCAGTGCACTGCGAACGTGAGCTCAAAGCTGCGATCGCGAAGAAGGAATGAGGAAGAAGCTGAAGCACTGAAATTGTGCTACGCGATCGCATAAACCTGTACGCGATCACGTAAGGCTGAGAAATTGTTCTCTGCGATCGCATGGCCTTATACGCGATCGCGTAGTGTTAAACAAACCTAGGAAAAGTTGTTCTACGCGATCGCAAACGAATTTCCGCGATCGCGATGAATAAAAATCTAAAAAACAGAACTTAAGTTCTGGAAATGGGGTTTCGACCCATTTTCAACCATTTCCAATTTTTGAGCTCGGGTAAGGCGATTCTTGGGAGATTTTTGCGGGAAAACATTAGGGTAAGTATTCATTATCCTATATTGATTATATTTCATGATTCCATACTCATTTACATCATGAATCCGTGAATTTATGAAAGAAAAATCAAATTTTTATAAAATCTTCCAAAAATGCAAATTTAAGATTTGAAGGTCCATTTGACATCGAAATTTGATAAATTTTGTATGATTGGACTCGTCTCGGAACGGGTGTTCGAATTTCGTAAGTTTTTTCAAGATTTGAGACGTGGGTCCCACTGTCGAATATTTTAATAAATTTCGGATTTTTATTCGTAAAATTAGTAAATTCATATGAAATTAATTCCTATGATTCGTATTGAGTATATTGAATTGTTTATGAATAGATTTGAAGCTTTTGGAGACAAATCTAAAAGAAAAAGCTATGGTTGAGTAATTGATTGGAATTTGCAAAGCGAGGTAAGTGTCGCGGTTAACCTTGACTTGAGGGAATAGAACCCTTAAACTATTTGTTATGTGAAATGCATGTGAACGACGTATAGGCGAGGTGACGAGTGCCTATACGTTGTCAAATTAATTGTTTGCATAATTACTTAAAAAATCATAAATCGTTTTAAATCATGAATTAATTATTATAATAATTGTTTCTCTCCTATTCTTTGTAAAATATTAATTCTTGAATTCCTGCATTAATTGTTACATACTATTTGAATTATGTGTCTTAATTGATATTTGATATTTAGCATATTAAATATTAAACTGCCTATTTTTTCCCTGATTTTTATAATAATTTGCTATTTGTCATTATTTGTTTCATAATTAAATCATAATTATTGTATGCTTGTTGTCTTATAATTTTATATTAATTGTTGTATTTATTGGGAAAATTTCTTCTATAAGAATTGGTAAATGGATATATTAGAGGATCGGGTTGCACGCCGCAACAGAATTGATTGAAATGGATATATTGGAGGATCGGGTTGCACGCCGCAACAGACTTAATAAAAGTCCATATTGGGGGATCGGGTTGTATGCCGCAACAGACTTATTTAAAAGTCAATATTGGGGGATCGGGTTGCACGCCGCAACAGACTTATTTAAAAGTCTATATATACTTGATTGAAATAAATATATGATAGACTTGATTAAAAATGAATATATTGTGAGAGGGGGTTGCACGCTGCAACAGAATTGATGGAAATGATAATTGGTTATGACTGCTGAATTGGCTTCAATTATTATAAATAAGTTACCTAATTTATTTCTATTATTTTTGTTGTTACTAATATTGCGTACAGGTAATATAAGTGACCCGCCTTAACCTCGTCACTACTTCGTTGAGGTTAGGCTCAGTGCTTACCAGTACATGGGGTCGGTTGTACTGATACTATACTCTGCACTTCTTGTGCAGATTTTGGAGTTGGTCCCAACGACGTACCATAGACTTGCTCAAATTTCAGCTACTCAGAGGAGACTTGAGGTATAACTGCACGACGTCCGCAGTTCTGAAGTTCCTGTCTACTTTACTTTAGCTATGTGTTTATTTTCAGATAGCTTTATTTTATTCAGGCCCTTATTTGTATTATTCTAGAAGCTCGTGTACTTGTGACACCAAATTTTGGGATGGTATTGAGACACCGTTGTTTTTATGGATTATTTACTATATTTCAGACTTTACTTCCACAATCGTTCTTTGTTATTAATAAATTTAAAAATTGTTTAAAAATTGGTTAATATTATTCTAACGTTGGCTTGCCTAGCAAGTGAAATGTTAGGCGCCATCACGGTCCGAAGGTAGGAATTTCGGGCTGTGACAGTTGGTATCATAGCACTAGGTTACATAGGTCTCACTAGTCACAAGCAAGCTTAGTAGAGTCTGAAGGATCGGTACGGAGACGTCTGTACTTATCTCAGAGGCTATGAAGTTTAGGAACAATATCACTTCTTTCATTCCTTATCGTGCGACATTGATTTAGCTTGAAACATATATCTCGTATTCCTTTGTATCCACTCATGTATGACATTGCGCACTCGGTATCAGTTGTGCATCGATGGTTCGTGATGCCGCAAATGGACTACGAGGGAGCCAGAGATGCTCAAATATTGCCTCAACATGTGGTTCTGACTGAAGATGCAGACGCATTGAGAGACCACCCAGTGAATCATGTAGGGGGTGCAACGGACCTTGGCATCTGGTTGATTTATACGAGTTGTGAAGATTAATATTATGGATCATCGGACGTGGTGAACTATGACTTCACACTGAGTGGGGGAAGTCCACTATCAATGGATGGATTGCGAGGTCATGTGTTATATTAGTTTTGTCCTAAAATGTATATATGTGGTATTGAAAGGTTCCCAAAAATTTTACACATGTTTAAGCCCTGAGATTTTGTAGAGGATAAGGTTGGGACTTGCGGTATGTCCGCCTACTTTAATAATCCTATACTTCAGTACCAAAGGAGTTAGAGAAACAATTTTAAATTTAGAGGAGGTCTACTTAGCGTGGACGTCACAGTTGCCGATTTTGGGGTGCTTCAGAGGAAGTACAGTGGTTAACGAGATTTTGGACTGCGTGGTTCGTTCTAAGAATTGTTTGTATGGAGCTCTACTTTTGTGATCATTATATATAAAATAGGGGTAAAGGTTACCCCAAAGAATAAATCGAATAGTATGTTAATAAATGGGTCAACTCAACAGTGTTGAATCAGCATAACAAAAGAAAAAATTGGCCTTGGGAGAGATAGTTCTCCACAGGTGTCCGTGGCAAGTCTATGAAGAGGGCAGACCAGACAATGCAATACCGCCCACTTGGCTCAGTTCTTAGAAATGCTTTTGAAAGAGTTTCTTTCCCAAACTCTCCGTAATGCGTGGCGCATATGGTTCGAACGGTTGCGTCAGGTCACCGTGACGGTGTCAGAATATGCCATCAGGTTTAATAAGTTAGCCCGTCATATTCCTACTTTGTTTCGTACAGCTAGGGAGCGAGTCCACAGACTCATTAAATGACTCAATTATGATCGTAAATTTTTGTACAACTTGGGAGCTTCAGGCTGATGCTTCATTTCCACTAGTGGTAGAAATTTCCAAGATATTAGAACATGTTCGGGTGAGGAAAAAGGAAACTAAGGAGACCAAGATATCTCGAGGTTCTGGGGGATTCAGTGGATTCTACTCTATGAGTATAAATCATTATGGAGGGGGCGCGGGCAGTCGGCCAGCCCAGTTCGCACATCGGATTACTCGGGGTGCTCCAGTAAGTTCTTTTAATGCACCACCGACATGAGTTTCCTGCAATGGTTATTCCAGTTATCTGGCACAGACTCAGTATGAGCAGCAAACCCGCAAAAGGGGTTGTTATGAATACGGTGATACCAGGCACATCATGAGAAAATTGTCCCAAACTTGGGAGAGACATATTTCATCAAAACACTCAGGCTACGTGCCCCATTGCAGTTATTACACCACCCACACGACCAGTTAGGGGTGGAGGACAGGTGAGTAGAAGGCGTCCTAGAGGTGGAGACC